ATGGGCATCACACTGGGGTCCTGGTGGTCATGGGCATCACACTGGGGTCCTGGTGGTCATGGGCACACACTGGGGTCCTGGTGGTCATGGGCATCACACTGGGGTCCTGGTGGTCATGGGCATCACACTGGGGTCCTGGTGGTCATGGGCATCACACTGGGGTCCTGGTGGTCATGGGCAGCACACTGGGGTCCTGGTGGTCATGGGCATCACACACTGGGGTCCTGGTGGTCATGGTGGTCACTGGGGTCATGGTGGTCACACACACTGGGGTCCTGGTGGTCATGGGCATCACACTGGGGTCCTGGTGGTCATGGGCATGGGGTCCTGGTGGTCATGGGCATCACACTGGGGTCCTGGTGGTCATGGGCATCACACTGGGGTCCTGGTGGTCATGGGCATGGGCACACTGGGGTCCTGGTGGTCATGGGCATCACACTGGGGTCCTGGTGGTCATGGGCATCACACTGGGGTCCTGGTGGTCATGGGCATCACACTGGGGTCCTGGTGGTCATGGGCATCACACTGGGGTCCTGGTGGTCATGGGCATCACACTGGGGTCCTGGTGGTCATGGGCATGGGGTCACACACTGGGGTCCTGGTGGTCATGGGCATCACACTGGGGTCCTGGTGGTCATGGGCATCACACTGGGGTCATGGGCATCACACTGGGGTCCTGGTGGTCATGGGCATCACACTGGGGTCCTGGTGGTCATGGGCATGGGCACACTGGGGTCCTGGTGGTCATGGGCATGGGCACACTGGGGTCCTGGTGGTCATGGGCATCACACTGGGGTCCTGGTGGTCATGGGCATCACACTGGGGTCCTGGTGGTCATGGGCATCACACTGGGGTCCTGGTGGTCACTGGGGTCCTGGTGGTCATGGGCATCACACTGGGGTCCTGGTGGTCATGGGCACACTGGGGTCCTGGTGGTCATGGGCATCACACTGGGGTCCTGGTGGGCATCATGGGGGTCATGGGCACACACTGGGGTCCTGGTGGTCATGGGCATCACACTGGGGTCACACACTGGTCCTGGTGGTCATGGGCAGCACACTGGGGTCCTGGTGGTCATGGGCATCACACTGGGGTCCTGGTGGTCATGGGCATCACACTGGGGTCCTGGTGGTCATGGGCATCACACTGGGGTCCTGGTGGTCATGGGCACCACACTGGGGTCCTGGTGGTCATGGGCATCACACTGGGGTCCTGGTGGTCATGGGCATCACACTGGGGTCCTGGTGGTCATGGGCATCACACTGGGGTCCTGGTGGTCATGGGCATCACACTGGGGTCCTGGTGGTCATGGGCATCACACTGGGGTCCTGGTGGTCATGGGCATCACACTGGGGTCCTGGTGGTCATGGGGGGTCATGGTGGTCACACACACTGGGGTCCTGGTGGTCATGGGCATCACACTGGGGTCCTGGTGGTCATGGGCATCACACTGGGGTCCTGGTGGTCATGGGCATCACACTGGGGTCCTGGTGGTCATGGGCACCACACTGGGGTCCTGGTGGTCATGGGCACCACACTGGGGTCCTGGTGGTCATGGGCACCACACTGGGGTCCTGGTGGTCATGGGCACCACACTGGGGTCCTGGTGGTCATGGGCACCACACTGGGGTCCTGGTGGTCATGGGCACCACACTGGGGTCCTGGTGGTCATGGGGTCACTGGGGTCCTGGTGGTCATGGGCACCACACTGGGGTCCTGGTGGTCATGGGCATCACACTGGGGTCCTGGTGGTCATGGGCATCACACTGGGGTCCTGGTGGTCATGGGCATCACACTGGGGTCCTGGTGGTCATGGGCATCACACTGGGGTCCTGGTGGTCATGGGCATCACACTGGGGTCCTGGTGGTCATGGGCATCACACTGGGGTCCTGGTGGTCATGGGCATCACACTGGGGTCCTGGTGGTCATGGGCATCACACTGGGGTCCTGGTGGTCATGGGCATCACACTGGGGTCCTGGTGGTCATGGGCATCACAGCACACTGGGGTCCTGGTGGTCATGGGCATCACACTGGGGTCCTGGTGGTCATGGGCATCACACTGGGGTCCTGGTGGTCATGGGCATGGGGTCACACATCACACTGGGGTCCTGGTGGTCATGGGCATCACACTGGGGTCCTGGTGGTCATGGGCATCACACTGGGGTCCTGGTGGTCATGGGCATCACACTGGGGTCCTGGTGGTCATGGGGTCCTCATGGGCACACACTGGGGTCCTGGTGGTCATGGGCATCACACTGGGGTCCTGGTGGTCATGGGCATCACACTGGGGTCCTGGTGGTCATGGGCATCACACTGGGGTCCTGGTGGTCATGGGCATCACACTGGGGTCCTGGTGGTCATGGGCATCACACTGGGGTCCTGGTGGTCATGGGCATCACACTGGGGTCCTGGTGGTCATGGGCATCACACTGGGGTCCTGGTGGTCATGGGCATCACACTGGGGTCCTGGTGGTCATGGGCATCACACTGGGGTCCTGGTGGTCATGGGCATCACACTGGGGGTGGTCATGGGCATCACACTGGGGTCCTGGTGGTCATGGGCATCACACTGGGGTCCTGGTGGTCATGGGCATCATGGGGTCCTGGTGGTCATGGGCACACACTGGGGTCCTGGTGGTCATGGGCATCACACTGGGGTCCTGGTGGTCATGGGCATCACACTGGGGTCCTGGTGGTCATGGGCATCACACTGGGGTCCTGGTGGTCATGGGCATCACACTGGGGTCCTGGTGGTCATGGGCATCACACTGGGGTCCTGGTGGTCATGGGCATCACACTGGGGTCCTGGTGGTCATGGGCATCACACTGGGGTCCTGGTGGTCATGGGCATGGGCACACTGGGGTCCTGGTGGTCATGGGCATCACACTGGGGTCCTGGTGGTCATGGGCATCACACTGGGGTCCTGGTGGTCATGGGCACACTGGGGTCCTGGGGTCCTGGTGGTCATGGGGTCATGGGCACACACTGGGGTCCTGGTGGTCATGGGCATCACACTGGGGTCCTGGTGGTCATGGGCATCACACTGGGGTCCTGGTGGTCATGGGCATCACACTGGGGTCCTGGTGGTCATGGGCAACACACTGGGGTCCTGGTGGGCCTGGTGGTCATGGGCACCACACTGGGGTCCTGGTGGGCATGGGCATCACACTGGGGTCCTGGTGGTCATGGGCATCACACTGGGGTCCTGGTGGTCATGGGCATCACACTGGGGTCCTGGTGGGCATCACACTGGGGTCATGGGCATCACACTGGGGTCCTGGTGGTCATGGGCATCACACTGGGGTCCTGGTGGTCATGGGCATCACACTGGGGTCCTGGTGGTCATGGGCATCACACTGGGGTCCTGGTGGGCATGGGTCATGGGCATCACACTGGGGTCCTGGTGGTCATGGGCACCACACTGGGGTCCTGGTGGTCATGGGCATCACACTGGGGTCCTGGTGGTCATGGGCACCACACTGGGGTCCTGGTGGTCATGGGCATCACACTGGGGTCCTGGTGGTCATGGGCACCACACTGGGGTCCTGGTGGGCATGGGCACCACACTGGGGTCCTGGTGGTCATGGGCACCACACTGGGGTCCTGGTGGTCATGGGCACCACACTGGGGTCCTGGTGGTCATGGGCAGCACACTGGGGTCCTGGTGGTCATGGGCACCACACTGGGGTCCTGGTGGTCATGGGCACCACACTGGGGTCCTGGTGGGCATGGGCATCACACTAGGGTCCTGGTGGTCATGGGCAGCACACTGGGGTCCTGGTGGCCATGGGCAGCACACTGGGGTCCTGGTGGGCATGGGCAGCACACTGGGGTCCTGGTGGGCATGGGCATCACACTGGGGTCCTGGTGGGCATGGGCAGTACACTGGGGTCCTGGTGGTCATGGGCAGCACACTGGGGTCCTGGTGGGCATGGGCAGCACCCTTGAGTCCTGGTGGGCATGGGCAGCACCCTTGAGTCCTGGTGGTCATGGGCAGCACCCTTGAGTCCTGGTGGGCATGGGCAGCACACTGGGGTCCTGGTGGGCATGGGCAGCACCCTGGGGTCCTGGTGGTCATGGGCATCACACTGGGGTCCTGGTGGTCATGGGCATCACACTGGGGTCCTGGTGGTCATGGGCATCACACTGGGGTCCTGGTGGGCATGGGCATCACACTGGGGTCCTGGTGGTCATGGGCATCACACTGGGGTCCTGGTGGGCATGGGCATCACACTGGGGTCCTGGTGGGCATGGGCATCACACTGGGGTCCTGGTGGTCATGGGCATCACACTGGGGTCCTGGTGGTCATGGGCACCACACTGGGGTCCTGGTGGGCATGGGCATCACACTGGGGTCCTGGTGGTCATGGGCACCACACTGGGGTCCTGGTGGGCATGGGCATCACACTGGGGTCCTGGTGGGCATGGGCATCACACTGGGGTCCTGGTGGGCATGGGCATCACACTGGGGTCCTGGTGGGCATGGGCATCACACTGGGGTCCTGGTGGTCATGGGCATCACACTGGGGTCCTGGTGGTCATGGGCATCACACTGGGGTCCTGGTGGTCATGTGATATATAATTATATCAGTATATATGAATATATATTTCCCAGCAAGTAATAACTATGATATAAGTATAATCTAGAGCCCCACACTTGGGGTGCGTGAGCAGTGGTGCCTACGCCAGCCACCACTCCTCCTCCTCCTCCTCCTCCTCCTCTCTCACTCTCTCTAGATTTATCTAAAAGTTGTAATTCAAAATTCCTAATCCTTCCTCTTCCAGATAATTTTGTTTTTAAATAATTTGCGGTTTTATAACATGTTTAGCTGCGACTGTGACTTGGAGAAGCACCTTGTCACAGCCGACAGCATCGACTGTGACGTGGAGAAGCACCTTGTCACAGCCGACGGCTTAGACTGTGACTTGGAGAAGCACCTTGTCACAGCCGACGGCTTCACTGTCACCGCCTGCAGCGTCCTCTGTGTGTCCGGCAGGTGTGGTGCGGGACGCCACCGGCAGCTACACCGTCAGCATGTGGGTGCTGGCCGCAGCTGTCCTCACCAGCTTCATACTGTGGCTCTTCATGCCCGCTGCCCAGGCCTACGACCAGCGCAGGGCGGCGCACCAAGCTCAACACGAAGGTTTTCTTAACACTTGACCAGTACAAGTGTGTCTGTGGGTCTCCCAGCCAGCCTCCTGCCTTCTTCACATTGCTTCTAATTATTTGTTTTAGGAGCTGAAATATGACTGATGTAGGAGTAAGTATTATAAGGTAAACCCGGAAGTGCCCGGGTTTACAGATAGTGTCTCTTTCTGTCTCTTTCTCTCTTTTGCTCTTCCTCCCTCTCACTCTCTCTCTCTCTCTCTCTCTCTCTCTCTCTCTCCTCTCTCTCTCTCTCTCTCTCTCTCTCTCTCTCTCTCTCTCTCTCTCTCTCTCTCTCTCTCTCTCTCTCTCTCTCTCTCTCTCTCTCTCTCTCTCTCTCTCTCTCTCTCTCTCTCTCTCTCTCTCTCTCTCTCTCTCTCTCTCTCTCTCTCTCTCTCTCTCTCTCTCTATCTCTCTATCTCTCTCTCTCTCTCTCTCTCTCTCTCTCTCTCTCTCTCTCTCTCTCTCTCTCTCTCTCTCTCTCTCTCTCTCTCTCTATCTCTCTCTCTAGGACGCCTGGCAACAAGCCAGAAGGACGCCTGGCAACAAGCCAGAAGGACGCCTGGCAACAAGCCAGAAGGACGCCTGGCAACAAGCCAGAAGGACGCCTGGCAACAAGCCAGAAGGACGCCTGGCAACAAGCCAGAAGGACGCCTGGCAACAAGCCAGAAGGACGCCTGGCAACAAGCCAGAAGGACGCCTGGCAACAAGCCAGAAGGACGCCTGGCAACAAGCCAGAAGGACGCCTGGCAACAAGCCAGAAGGACGCCTGGCAACAAGCCAGAAGGACGCCTGGCAACAAGCCAGAAGGACGCCTGGCAACAAGCCAGAAGGACGCCTGGCAACAAGCCAGAAGGACGCCTGGCAACAAGCCAGAAGGACGCCTGGCAACAAGCCAGAAGGACGCCTGGCAACAAGCCAGAAGGACGCCTGGCAACAAGCCAGAAGGACGCCTGGCAACAAGCCAGAAGGACGCCTGGCAACAAGCCAGAAGGACGCCTGGCAACAAGCCAGAAGGACGCCTGGCAACAAGCCAGAGGGACGCCTGGCAACAAGCCAGAAGGACGCCTGGCAACAAGCCAGAAGGACGCCTGGCAACAAGCCAGAAGGACGCCTGGCAACAAGCCAGAAGGACGCCTGGCAACAAGCCAGAAGGACGCCTGGCAACAAGCCAGAAGGACGCCTGGCAACAAGCCAGAAGGACGCCTGGCAACAAGCCAGAAGCCACGCCTGGCAACAAGCCAGAAGGACGCCTGGCAACAAGCCAGAAGGACGCCTGGCAACAAGCCAGAAGGACGCCTGGCAACAAGCCAGAAGGACGCCTGGCAACAAGCCAGAAGGACGCCTGGCAACAAGCCAGAAGGACGCCTGGCAACAAGCCAGAAGGACGCCTGGCAACAAGCCAGAAGGACGCCTGGCAACAAGCCAGAAGGACGCCTGGCAACAAGCCAGAAGGACGCCTGGCAACAAGCCAGACGCCTGGCAACAAGCCAGAAGGACGCCTGGCAACAAGCCAGAAGGACGCCTGGCAACAAGCCAGAAGGACGCCTGGCAACAAGCCAGAAGGACGCCTGGCAACAAGCCAGAAGGACGCCTGGCAACAAGCCAGAAGGACGCCTGGCAACAAGCCAGAAGGACGCCTGGCAACAAGCCAGAAGGACGCCTGGCAACAAGCCAGAAGGACGCCTGGCAACAAGCCAGAAGGACGCCTGGCAACAAGCCAGAAGGACGCCTGGCAACAAGCCAGAAGGACGGACCCTGGCAACAAGCCAGAAGGACGCCTGGCAACAAGCCAGAAGGACGCCTGGCAACAAGCCAGAAGGACGCCTGGCAACAAGCCAGAAGGACGCCTGGCAACAAGCCAGAAGGACGCCTGGCAACAAGCCAGAAGGACGCCTGGCAACAAGCCAGAAGGACGCCTGGCAACAAGCCAGAAGGACGCCTGGCAACAAGCCAGAAGGACGCCTGGCAACAAGCCAGAAGGACGCCTGGCAACAAGCCAGAAGGACGCCTGGCAACAAGCCAGAAGGACGCCTGGCAACAAGCCAGAAGGACGCCTGGCAACAAGCCAGCGCAGGCAACAAGCCAGAAGGACGCCTGGCAACAAGCCAGAAGGACGCCTGGCAACAAGCCAGAAGGACGCCTGGCAACAAGCCAGAAGGCAACAAGCCAGAAGGACCCTGGCAACAAGCCAGAAGGACGCCTGGCAACAAGCCAGAAGGACGCCTGGCAACAAGCCAGAAGGACGCCTGGCAACAAGCCAGAAGGACGCCTGGCAACAAGCCAGAAGGACGCCTGGCAACAAGCCAGAAGGACGCCTGGCAACAAGCCAGAAGGACGCCTGGCAACAAGCCAGAAGGACGCCTGGCAACAAGCCAGAAGGACGCCTGGCAACAAGCCAGGGACGCCTGGCAGGACGCCTGGCAACAAGCCAGAAGGACGCCTGGCAACAAGCCAGAAGGACGCCTGGCAACAAGCCAGAAGGACGCCTGGCAACAAGCCAGAAGGACGCCTGGCAACAAGCCAGAAGGACGCCTGGCAACAAGCCAGAAGGACGCCTGGCAACAAGCCAGAAGGACGCCTGGCAACAAGCCAGAAGGACGCCTGGCAACAAGCCAGAAGGACGCCTGGCAACAAGCCAGAAGGACGCCTGGCAACAAGCCAGAAGGACGCCTGGCAACAAGCCAGAAGGACGCCTGGCAACAAGCCAGAAGGACGCCTGGCAACAAGCCAGAAGGACGCCTGGCAACAAGCCAGAAGGACGCCTGGCAACAAGCCAGAAGGACGCCTGGCAACAAGCCAGAAGGACGCCTGGCAACAAGCCAGAAGGACGCCTGGCAACAAGCCAGAAGGACGCCTGGCAACAAGCCAGAAGGACGCCTGGCAACAAGCCAGAAGGACGCCTGGCAACAAGCCAGAAGGACGCCTGGCAACAAGCCAGAAGGACGCCTGGCAACAAGCCAGAAGGAGGACGCCTGGCAACAAGCCAGAAGGACGCCTGGCAACAAGCCAGAAGGACGCCTGGCAACAAGCCAGAAGGACGCCTGGCAACAAGCCAGAAGGACGCCTGGCAACAAGCCAGAAGGACGCCTGGCAACAAGCCAGAAGGACGCCTGGCAACAAGCCAGAAGGACGCCTGGCAACAAGCCAGAAGGACGCCTGGCAACAAGCCAGAAGGACGCCTGGCAACAAGCCAGAGAGGACGCCTGGCAACAAGCCAGAAGGACGCCTGGCAACAATTAAGGTGTAGTTGTAACCATTTGAATGATAATAAATAACACTGTAGAGGTACCATTTTCTCTGACTGAAATTTTTTGTGATATTGAAACCGGGTACTTACTTGTGGGAAGATAATGGGGTACTTACCTTTGGGAAGATAATGAGGTACTTACCTCTGGGAAGATAATTCGGTACTTACCTCTGGGAAGATAATTCGGTACTTACCTCTGGGAAGATAATGGGGTACTTACCTCTGGGAAGATAATGAGGTACTTACCTCTGGGAAGATAATGAGGTACTTACCTCTGGGAAGATAATGAGGTATTTACCTCTGGGAAGATAATGGGGTACTTACCTCTGGGAACATAATGGGGTACTTACCTCTGGGAACATAATGGGGTACTTACCTCTGGGAACATAATGGGGTACTTACCTCTGGGAAGATATTTACTTCAGTGTTCCACGCTGTTGTTGAAAAAAATATATATTTTAGTATTTGAAATAAATTTAAATTGCTATATATTCTAAATATTTGTATCATTATCCTACAATAAAAAAATTTAATCGAAATATTTGGATCACGTGAAATTATTGGTAGAATGGACCAATAGAATGGATCAAACAATGATTATAACAAAGTAAACAAAGGGTCGTCCTAATGAAAAAAAGTCGTACTGGAGAAATGTGAGTTGCGTGGCTTAGGGGTCCATGTTGCAACCTGTCCTCACGTCCCATAGTACCCATCCCATAGTACCCATCCCATAATACCCATCCTATAGTACCTGTTATAAATTTGTGTGCTGCTATGGGGGGATCTAGTATTATTGAGTAGGGTCAGCAGTTAGAATCAATGTGTAACAGGGTAGTGACACAATTAAGCCCGGCCCCCAAGGAACATAGGTTCCTGTTTATACTTTAAGGTTTTAGAACAGATCTGTCGTCTGGGATACAATCAACTACGTCACTACAACAGGAGTACTGGATACACCTCAAAAACTAACTTATTTATTAAACCCTCTTAACAACCCCCATATACATTCACACAATAACAATAAATACTTTACCACACTATCATACGTTAACTACCTTGGTCCACATAGGCAGGATACAAGGCTTACACGTGGGACAAGCTAGGGTAAAGTCTACTAGGCAAGGGACACTAGCAAGGACTCTAGGTAGCTTGGTACCACTGGAGAAACACGTGGTTCCACTGAGCCCCCTTTAGAGTAAATTAGCAAAATATAAACACTAGCGATACCCTATACCATTACTACACACTTATGCCAGAAAACGAGAATGCAGCACTACTTAGCTTTGTAAACTAGACACAGGATAAGGTAAGGGAAGAGGAGGAGGGAGAGGAGAGGGATACAGAGCAACACAGTAGAGTTGTGGACTCCACGCCGCCAGCCAGAGAAGATCGCTTCAGCCTCCAGTCCCAGAGCTCCCCGAGTTGCTGTGGTGCCGGGAAGAGCCTAATTGATCGTGCAGCTTATAAACATTACAAAGCTTCACCGATGTACAATATTGTTTGCTTTACTCGTTTATAACTGATATAAACACGAGCGCACTAAATTTTGAAAAAAAATTGAAAACATGCCCATGCACTCGGCCCCAGGTCCAGACTCATGGAATTCAATATTTATAAAGAAATGCAAAGTGCCGGTAGCACAGGCACTCAGTATAGTGTGGAGGAAGAGCTTGGACACGGGGGAGATACCAGATGCACTTAAAGTAGCAGACATAGCCCCTCTACACAAGGGAGGGAGCAAAGCATTGGCAAAAAATTATAGACCAGTTGCACTAACATCGCTCATCATAAAAGTATTTGAGAGAGTGATTAGGAGTCAGGTCACCAATTTCATGGAGACCAATGACCTTCACAACCCAGGCCAACATGGATTTATAGCGGGAAGATCGTGCCTCTCACAGCTACTTAAGCACTACGACAAAGTCACTGAGGCATTAGAAGAGAAACGGAATGCTGATGTGATATA